AATTAATATTATTTTGAATTTTAGTTTTAGTTTTTAAATTATTAGTTTTTAATAATATAAAAACTTTTCTAGGTTTATTATGATAAAAATCAAAATATCAAATGCTTATATATATCATATTTAATACAATAAGATAAAAGAAAAATTTTAAAATCATAATAATTTCATTCTATATAATCATTTTTGTTATATCTAATTGCTATATTACTCTTATCTTTTTTAATTAATTGATAATTGTTTAAATATGATTTTTGCTTATAATATTATGTTTATGATATTAAGATTTAATAATTCTGAAATATGTATCATAAATAAATTTAGTATAACCAAAAATTATAAAATTAAGTTTGATTATATTAAAATTTAATTATAGTAAGCTATAAATAAAACCAAAAGGTAAGATTATTTTTGTTTTAATTCCCATAGTTATCATATATAATATTTAAATATATTGGTATTAGATTTTAGTTAAATAAACTATTATATAATAGATTGAGAGTAGTATTAGTACCTTTAGGTATTTTTATTAGCAATTGATATTTATTAATTAAATAATTTCTTTGTATTATTTATTCTAAATTAATATTAGTGATTTCAAAAACATAAATTTTGAATAATAATTTAAAAAATAACCCTCTAGACTATTATGGTAAATAAGAAATTAGAATATTTTGAGTCTAATTATAATAGATTTGTAAAATATTAAACATTAGTTGTTTACTAATATTGATATTTTTATTATAATACTAATGTTTAACTATAGCAGCTACATAATAAAAATCATACTTAGCTTGAAGCCTTTGTCTATTTTTAATATCATTAATAACTCAAATTTTGGCATGAAGTTGTTTATATTTATTATATAAATCAGATATCTGATTTATAAACTAAATATGATATACAACTTTTTTTAAATTTGATAAAATAATCTGTAGGCCAGAATTTTATAGTCTTCATCTTTATTAGATTTAATATTAATTACATATTCTCATAGATACTAATATATATTTTATTACTAGAATGTGAAATAACAAATATCAATTTATTTTACAAACTTCAACTAGATAAAGAAAATCTGTAAAGATTAATATAGTTATTAAGATACTTGCTAATTTCTTGCTTTATTTGATCATTAATTATAACATAATTTGATCGAATTTAACTATACTCTGTATTACTATGAATTATTCTTCTATTCTATAACTTTTCATATATGCTTTGATTCTATTAAAACAAGATAAGAAATTTTAACTAATATTAAATAGATAGATAAACATATAACAAGTTGATAATTGTAATAATATTAATATTTTATATATCATTTTCTTGTAATTCATGATATGCAAATGATGCAAGCTGTCCTTTAATTCAAATATCTAAAATATTATGAGACATATTTCAACATTCTTTTTGTTTTTTAAAAAATTAATAGAAGCTAATTTTTTCAAAACAAAACTTGTTTTTTCACTTTTTTTACAAGTGCATGTTTTTTTTTGCCAAAACTCCCACAATTCTTGAATGTTTTGGCAAATAAGTTTATCTTCTTCATCATATTTTTTGATTTCTAGTTTAGCAAAAGAAGGTGCAATATTATTTATATCATTTTTATGACTATTAATTATTATTGAAGTATTCAGTTATTGTTATTAAGTAATTCAAGTTAATATATAAAATTAGAGATTTTTGCAACAAAGCAACAAATTCTTAGAATTTATTACAAAAAAAATTTTAAAAAATTCTTTATTAAAATATATAAAATTTAATATTAATTCTAACAAAATTAAAGATAACCAACTATAACAATTAAATAAACATCAATATAAAAATGAAAAGAATTTTATGCTGACTAAATTTAAGACTAACTTCATTATAAATAACTCACTATGAATTTTTGTTTTTGGCTCAACAAATTATTATTTACTTAAACTAAATTATTTTGATTGATCATAATAAATAAGCATCATTACGATCATTTACTACTGATTTTTCAACAAAAAATTTAATTATGGTTGAGCATTACGATCACATGCCAATTATATTGAGATTAACGTTTAAGAGCACTCTTTGATCGATCATGATAAATAAGCAACATTACGATCATTTACTACTGATTTTTCAACAAAAACTTTTATGTAAATATAATTATGGTTGAGCTCTATTATGATCGCATGCCAATGATATTGAGGTTAACGCTTAAGAGCACTCTATTTTAAGATTTTGATTAGGCTTCACTATATCAAGGATTCACTACAGTAAGAATAAACGCAATACAATGCAAGATTTTGCATTAAAATAATTAATCGTTGATATTTACAAATAAAAAATTTGTCTCTAAGTCCCGATTTGCTAGGCAACAACCCATATCTCTGACAGATATTTGGTTCGATCACTAATATACATCCATACCATCGTGTCTATTTTTTTCCACCATACAATAACGGTATTATCGTCCGGCTATTGTTACGACTGCCACACCCAAATTTTGATCATACTATTTGTATGGTTGAGTTTTAAAATTCTATCAGATAGAGCAGATTATATTATTGGCTCTGTTTAATAAGAATTTTAAAACTCAACCGTACAAATACGATCAAAATTTTGGTACGTATGGCAGTAACAACATTGCCGTACGATAATAATTGAATAGTGAATCTCAATTTGGTATAATGTTATACAATTAAAAAAATTCAAAACAAACATTTGTTTTGTCAAAAATCTCATACTCCAAATCTGCATAAGAAACCACCTTTTACGCATTAAAAAAAAAATTTTCTTGACCGATTTTACGGATCTCTTGCAGTATAGATTACACCTATTTTAAATCAATTGATTAATAATATATTTTATTAGTGGTGTCACCTATACTGCAAGAGATCCGATTTTACTGTTAAAATTCTAACTCTAACACTAAAATAGACGCTAACCCTAAATAAATGGGGTCCGTATTATTTCACCGACAGCCGACATCACGCCAGATGAAATTTAGTAAAAATATATACCTGCAACTAATTAATGCTTAACTCTAACCCTATGTGATTTCGTCTGATCGGAGCCGAAATAAATGAAAAATTTTTTTGCCTAATATCACGTGATGGTAAAAGTTTTGTTGGCGCTCCTAAATTACCACGGAGATCATATGAAAAAATGATCTACTCTTAATATTCTAATTAAGCAAATTTGTCTAAAAAAGTCTACAGATTAAAAAATAATAAATATTTATTTTTTAAAATTCCAATCCATTACCGTTTATCTGGTAATTATCGTTATCTGTTATCCAAAGTATCCGATCTGAATTTATCCGAATATCTGTCAGATTATCCGGATATTTGTCTGTTTGTCCAATCTGAATGATACGGATAATTCAGATACGATGACGGATTTATCTGGATGGAACTCTATTAAAAAATCATTAAATTCGAAACCGGGTCTCGCAGTATAGGTTACACTATTTTAAAACAATTGATTAATAATATATTTTATTAGTGGTGTCATATATACTGCAAGAGATCCAAAAAACCATCTTTTTTATACTAACAAAATTTTTTGCAAAATTTAATATAATATCACCTATTAACCCTATCAATAACTCTACCCAAGACATTATATTCTGAAAAGGTAACGTGTAAATAATCCTAGCCAATTAGAAACCTGGAAGAAAATTAGTAAAAACGGGAAGGGAGAAGAAGGGTACGCACGTACGCACGTACAGTACGTACGCACGTACGTACATATAGTAAAAAATCAAAAAAAATATTACGCAATATCTGTTATTACCCTTACACAAATCATCCGTTAAGTTGACCAATTAAAATAGCACTTATGATTTATTAACCAATCAAAATGCTATTTCACAAAAAAAAAGTTGTAGGATTCAGAAGGTTAAGCTTTTTAAAGAAAGGTATTTTAAAATGTATTAAACAATTATTTATAAATCGATTAACAATTTCCTAATTTGGGACAGTCCCTACTGTATCCCTTAAAATTTGCAGTTAGAATAACAATTGTTAGATTCGGATTTTCCAACGCTAATATTACATGATTTTTTTTTTTCAAATATCAATGATAACTTGTAAAACCGACTTTTTTAGGATAGGATCCGAGATCCGGCTCTTTAAAAATATCCTTCCGATTCGATCCGCACGGAACACACCGAACTGGTTTTTAACATATAAAATAAAACCGGATTAAATTCTACATACTACACAATGAAATTTATCATTAACGTTAAAACTCGAAAAAACGTTTTTGGGCAAGAAATAAATCACATAAATAATTTTATTATAAAAGAGAAACTTTTGTATTACCGTCTATTATTAAAATCTTGCCGAATATATATGGAATAGCTCTTCACATGATACCTTGATCTTGTCAATCCAAAAATGGGTAATGTATTTATTTATTGTCTGATCGACAAAGGGAAAACTCTTGTTTCACTAAAAAAGGTTATAATTTACATGCATAACGGACGTAATTGTTTATATATTATTGTAATGCATATAATTTATAATTTGTGTTCTTTTTGAATCCTTCAAAAAAGATTTTTTTTTTATAAGTATATATCGTACACACCTCTTTTTTTTTAATTTTAAATTACACTTATTACTCTTTCTAAATCTGAGCAAGACAAAGACGAAGAATCTCAATAATGGTTGAAGACTTATCGAAAAGTGTGTAAACATTAGTAAATCATGTAACATGTACAATGTTGATTTGTGTTGTTTGTATACCGCATTGATTTGTTTGTTTAAAGAAACATTTCTGCAACAATAAGAAGAGAATCTTTGTATTTTCGTTTACATCCAACTACAATCACAATCGGTTGACAGAGTATGCGCCAAACAAATCTTTTAGAATATCCTTGATCAATCTTAGTTCGTTTTTAAAGAATAATGAACGTATACTTTTGTCCATCGGGTGTAAATTACAATCATCTGTTCTAATGCTGTTTCCTAATTATATCCTTATTAATGATAATTATCTAATATCGATTTCTTTGTTTTATGAAAGATACTTTTTATATTTCCCAACGGGCAGCCAACACTATTATAGCAGATATTACACCTTACCGAATTTCACCCGAAGCCTTATCAGCAATAAACAATTTTCTTGACGAATTCCTATACTTACTTGTGGATTCTTCCCGTTCTCTTTGTCTGGAAAATATAAAACCAGCAATATTTAATGTATTACCTACTAATTTGGGTAAAAATTCAATTAAAGAAGCAGAATTTGAATTAAAGACTTTTATGGAAAGTGGAAATTTTGATAAAACTCTAGAAAAAAATGTAGAAATATTTGAACCATATCCAGTACAAAAAATTTTTGAACAATTTCGTATAAAATGTAAATATTATAGTACATTAAGTGAACAAAGTTTTTCTATCAATGATCGTGATCCCAGCACAGTGCCTGGTTTGCATAATAGTGAGGGGATCTATATTTCACCAAGTTTGGCAATCTATATGACGGCTGTGTTAGAATATGTTGGTGAACATATCTTAATACTAGTGGCTAAGGCTTTGAAGCAACAAGGCGATGCAACTGTGGCGAAAGCCAATGATGTTTATTTGGCATTGACAGATAATCAACTTTTAACCTTATTTCAACGAACTAACTTAAAAGAAAAAATGGAGGCATGTCTTTAAATAAATAAATCTATTTATAGTTTTTAGAATTTATATAATATATATGATGATTTAATCGTATTATGTGTATCTTTATTTATATAGGAAACATTGTCAATACAACCACAAACACCGGATTCAAATATTACATTATCACCGCTATCACCCAAGACGCCTTCGTCAGAAAATGCTACAGGTAATATAGTAAATTAATTCGTTCGTTTATTTTTTTATTTTTAATAAATTTCAAGATTATTGGGTTATAATACTATGTTTTGATCACCAGAAGATATCTTACTTAGTAACCCAACTAAAGGTGGTGATAATATGTTTCGATCACCAGAAGTCGTCTCCTCTAGCAGTCTAACTAAAGGTGATAATAATGCTATGTTCCAATCACCAGAAGCAATCTCTCCTAGTAGTCCAACTAAGAGTGGTGATATTATGTCACGATCACCAGAAGTTATTTCACCTGGTAGTCCGATTAAACAAGGCTTCCATAATGAAGTGGGTATAGGATCACGAAAAACTTCCATCGATGACGTTGTATGGAGTAAGAGTCCTACTTCTCCAAATAGAACAATTAATGATAATAGTTATGGAAGGATAAGTTTAGAATCAAAGAATTCAGGAACTAACTCAGAAAAGAATAAATTTAAGGATCGAGATATTAAAAGTATATCTAGTTTGGTAAGCATTCATTAAAATATTTGTTTTTCATAATAATGCAATATCATTAATGCACAATTTATTGATAGGACGACATAGACAAAATGATTAGCTTCGAACACTTGATTTCCACCAATCAAAATTTGACATTGAAGGTTTCTCTAACATCAAACAGGATGAAAACTATTGAGGTATTTATTAATATATACATTTACATTATAATTTTATTACAATTTTCCGACATCACAATCCTGTAATTAAATTTGATAATCATCGACAAGAATTTTCCACGACAACTCATCTCTACAAAATAGGTAATTTTAATTGCAAGGCACTTAAAATTACCTATTTATAGTCGGTAAAATGAATGTGAGTCGGTGAAATACTATCTCTTGTTTTATTGTATATCTTTATCCTCATACACTTTATATATTTTGGGCAGACACAAAAACAAGAGCCTCGGAAATTCGAACCTCGTGAACCAGTAGCTCGCGAACGATTAATTCCATCTAAATCACAAAATAACGAAGAGGATGATGATGATGATGATTTTGAGGAGTTTTTAGGCGGAAAGAAAAAACCTAAAGAAAGTTTATTCGAGTTTTTGAAAAATACAGATCCAGATGATATTTTTATTAAGTCAACGGGAAAACTTAGACGAAAGGATTCGAAAGTTGATCTTCTCCAAAAACGATTATTTAACAATAAATCTGGTTCGGTTCCCGACCGTGCTTCACCTAGTCCGACCAATAGTGTCAGGCCTCGTCATATTCCTCTTATCCCTTCCGGAAGATTGTCAGCATCGAACATTACTATACCACCAAATCATACTAAAACTCTGCATCACAGCAAATCCTTGGATCAATTAAGTACTGCTTATCATAATAGATCAATAACAAACAAAAATATAGATAAAATTTATAATAGGCAAAAATCAAAAACTGACTCATTAGATTTTGACGAAGATGACTATGATATTATAAATTATGAAAAACCTCCTAGACGATTTGATACTCAAGATTTGATTGATTTCTTAAACACATCATCACCACCAAATGATACATTCGCCGAAAAGAAGAAAGAAAAGAAATTTACAAAACTGTTATCTAAATTAAGAATACCATCCAAAAACAAATATGAAAATGGCACTCGTTTGTCTAATACGTCGATAAAGAGCGCGCCAATAGAAAAACCTAAATATATTAAGATTCAGATTCCTGAGATATTACCCAAAGAAGAAACTCATGATAATATTAACTCCATTGTTAAGGATAATAACAGTGACATTAATAATAGCAATATTGATAGTAATAACAATATTATCAGTAATGACATTAATAATAGCACAATTGTTAGTAATAACAATATTATCAGTAATGATATTAGTAATAGCAATACTGTTAATAATGACATTAATAATAGCGATATTGTTAGTAATGACATTAATAATAGCGATATTGTTAGTAATGACATTAATAATAGCAATATTGTTAGTAATGACATTACTAACAATCTTGCTATTATTAATGACATTAATGTTATTAGTACTACTAATAATATTAGCGATGCTGCGAACACGGAAATACTACTACCTCAAGATGATAAAATTAAGCATGATGATGACGATGTGAAGAAATCTGAACAATATGGACAACAAATAATTAAAATTATTGTTGATAATTTCTTACAAGAGATAATTTTCATGGAATCTGTATTTGAAGAATCCGACAATGAATCGGAACAAAAACTAACCTCCGAAGTTACTGAAGATGAAATGGGGGATGTGTTAGTCATAGAATGTTTAGAATGTTTATTATGTGGATAAATTAAAAGTTCTGTCGCCATGTAAAATTACTTTAATTTTTTATTAATACAATTAAAATAAGAAACAATATTCCTTTAAGTATTTTCCATTAACCTTTATACTACGTTCTTGTCAATTCTGAAAACATTTTTCATGTTCCCGATTTTGGGGTCGCATAAAGCAGGTGCAGTCATATGATTTTGACATTTTAATTAAAGTTAGGTAGGGTAAGGGTTAATCGGAGGTTAGGGTAAGGACCGTTATAATCAAAACCAATTTTTGGCAACTGATTTAACTTTTGAAGTGACTAATCGTTGGATGATTATCCATTTTTAATAGACTTTAGCGTTAGTCAATAAATTAATAAAATTCGGTTGATTTGCAGGATTTGACCTAACCTACGAATCAGGATATCTAAATAAATATAATATAGGTACCACATTACGGCGCATTTGCGAAATACCTCAAAATTTGGAAAATTTGACTACTAATAAGAAATATAGATTTTAACTGAAA